CACTCTTTTTTTTTTTTTTTTTTTAAATCACCTTAAACTCCTTGCTGGCCTGGTCTATGGACTCTGAGGAGCATTGGCTCCTTGGCTGTCTGGGGCAGCTGCTAGGCCCATGAGAGACCTGGCTGCATTTGACCTTCAATCATGGAAACAGCCCTGGAATGCTCCTGCTCCTGAGAAGATGCCAAAGCGGAATTTATTTCAGGAACATGCTTTCCCAGAAGAGTATTCCGGGGCTCAAGTGGCCCCCAGAGGCATCTCCTGGGTGTGGGCTGGGCAAGACAAGTCTCCTCAGGGAGGTGCAGGCAATACAGGACAGTGAGAAATAGGTGTTCTAGGTGCCAAGCCATCCCCCATGAGTTGGCATTGTTAGTTCCCTGGAGCCTGTTGGGCTCTTTGAAGAGGCTCAGTGTCCTAGGCTGTTGTTACCTAATCTGCCTCCCATTGTCAGGACTGGAAGGGGACATCAGGACAAGGTGGGTGGGCACACAACCTGGGATCCAGTATGTCCGCTGAGGGATCAAGCAAAGTCCTAACCCGAGAACATTCTGCCTCCTAGTGGGTTGATTCATACCAGCTCTACTAGAGCACTTCCAGGGGCTTCCCAGCCTTTCCTGGAGGGGTAGTGGGCTTGGACTCTGGCTGGGCTGGTACCACACACATGACCTTCAGCGAAGTTGTCATATCCCAACCTCTTCAAGTGATCAGTACTTGGTTCCTCTGTGGTTCCCAGGTTAAGTACCCACTGCCACTATTAATCGATCATGGATTCACTTGACAAAGTTAGCTCAATATAGTGAGCTCAGTGACACATAGCACTTGGACATACTAAATGTCCCTGAGATGTATCAAAGCCATATAATTGCTGGGCGGTGGTGGCGCATGACTTTAATCCCAGCACTTGGGGAGCAAAGGCAGGCAGATCTCTTGTGAGTTCGAGGCTGGCCTGGTCTACAGAGTGAGTTCCAGGACAGACAGAACTGTTAACACAGAGAAACCCTGTCTGTGGGGCGGGGACATGTAATTTGGGTTCTAACAACTGGATCAGTCCTGTTTTGGGCTGTGGGTTCTGCCTTCTTCCCCCTAACCCCAGCCACCTAGGCCTCTGTGCTTTGCCTCTCAGTTCACCAGGAGTCCTTGCCTTGTACTCAGTGCTAGCTGGAGTCCCTAGGGGACATCCCAGTACCCATGCCCTCTGCATGGAGCCTTGTACTGGATGATCCCAGGTCAAAAGGTGAGCAGGGCAGAGGAAAATAGGATTTGGTAGGTGGGGCTGACCTGCTTCAAGGACTCAGGGAGATATGCCCTTGTTATGTGCCCCCCCCCCCACACAACACACCCATCTTCCCTCCCTGCCAAGGGCTACCACTTGGAGTCAGTGCCATGGGTCACTACCTCCTACATAGAGTTCACCTTACAGGGTGAGAACTTCGATGAGATACTTGCACCTATCCACCTGTGGAGAAAGGGGTCAGGATCAGGGTTTGGAAACCTGCAACAGGTCTCCCATCCACCCTGGCTGCAGGCCCATCCTGAAGCTACTCTGTCACCACAGTACTTAAGTGATACTTGTAACTCTTAGCCATCCAGAGGGCTACCAGGCCTAGTGGTTAGTAAAATGAGCTGAGCAAGAGGATGCAAGCACCTTTGTGGATCAGTGTGAGCCGCCTCCTGTGCTGTTCAGAGGCAAACCCACACATCACAGCTTTCAATCAATGGTGACAATAAAAGTACAAATAGAGCAAGCCTGGATTTGTTTGTTTGTTTGGTTTTTGGGTTTTTTTTGTTTGTTTGTTTGTTGTTGTTGTTTTGTTTTAGTTGGGCCTGGCTGGTCTGGAACTCACAAAGATCAACCTGCTTCTGCCTCCTATGTTCTAGGAATTAAAGGCATGCACCACCACAACCAGCTATCCTGAGTTTTTCATTTATTGATTTTCCCACTTCCCGCTGCACCAGGCTGTTCCTGTCCAGTGTCTTCTCTAGATTTTTCTTTTTTAGTTCTATTTATTTTAAGTTTTTTTTTTTTTTTTAAACAGGATCTCAGAGTCACAGAGGTCCACCTGTGCTCCTGATGCTGAGGTTAAAGGTATATGCCACTATATCCAGCTAATTTTTTTTTCTTAATATGTATGTGTGAGAGTGTCCATAGAGGCCAGAAGAAGTTGCATCCCCAAGAACTGTAGTTACAGTCAATTGTGAGCTGCTTGATATGAGTGCTGGAGTCAGAATTCAGTCCTCTGCAAGAGTATCCAGTGCTCTAACACAAAGCCACCTCTCCAGTCCCTACAGTGGTTTTGCCTTTGTCTTCTTTAGACGGGATCTCAAGGTGGCCTCACCCTTACTATGTAGCTGAGGGTGGCCTTGGATTTCTGACCCTTCTTCCCTCCAGCTTCATAAACGTAGGGGTTGTAGGCATGTGCCACCATATCTGACATGCTGAGGATCGTGCTAGGAAGGGACTCTACAACGGAGCTACATCGCCAACCCTTGGATAGTTTTGTTTTCCCTCAATTTTGGTCGCATCAAGATTGAATGATCACATTATGACGTTTGTGTTTGTATTCAAAGGCAAACCATATGGTGAGTTGTTTTTTCTATTTTTTCCTCGTGGAATTACTAATTGCCTTCTTTCACCATCTGCTTTGTTTCTTTTCCTTACTTTTTTGTGTGTCTGTATGTGTAAATATGTATATGCACGAGTGGAAACGGGAAACACCTTGAATGCTATCTCCAGGAAGCCTGTCTGCCTCCTTTGAGATTGGCCTGAAGCACTTGTCACTCAGGCTGGACTGGCTGGCTGGCAAGCCCTGGGCCCTCCTGTTTTCCCAGAACTGAGATTCCACTTGCATACCACCTTGCCCTTTCGTTCTGCCTTATTTGTGGGACCCAACAACTTCATACGTTGTAGGCAAGCACTCCACCATTGCTCTGCAGCCTCTTCCCTTTAGGGTTTTGTTGTTGTTGTTTGTTTGAGACAGGGTCTCTATATAGCCCTGGCTGTCCTAGAACTCACCATGTGGACCAGGCTGGCCTCAAAATCAGAGCCCTGCCTGCTACTGCCTCATAAATGCTGGGAATAAAGGTGTGTACTGTGACCCACAGCTGGCACCTTCAGGTTTTTGTTTTGTTTTTTTGGAAGTCTCATGGAGCCCAGGCTGATTTTGAACTTGCTATGTAGCTCTAGGCCTTCAAGTCTTTATCATCCTCCCAAGTACTGGAATGACCACATCTGGTTGTGTTTGCTTAGTTTCCTGTATATTAATCCTAAAGCCTGAACTCTACCCAGTCATCTGAGTCTACAATCTGTTCATTTCCACTCCCTTTAGGGGACTCTCTGGAGCCCTTTGTCTGGCTTGAGGTCCCTCCTCTAAGCAGTCATCCACAGCTCAACTCTCCTAAGTTTGATCCTTGATGATCAATGTCTTTTTTTCTTCTTAGTTTTCATCTTTATTTTTGTGATACGAATGTCCACACACCAGATTCTAGGGGACCACATGCAAGTCATCTTCCTTCTAACAATACACATTCCTCTGGAACACTGAGCATTTATGTACCTGCCACAGGATTACATTTCCTTTCCTTCGTATTCACATGCCTGTGTCCCTCTGGGGTACCTGTGCACACTCACACACTTTGCTGAACAGCACCCAACATTCCTGTGGGGAGGAGACTGACATGCAGGACTAAGGGAGGAGAGAGAACCCTGGAGAAGGGATAGGGTCCCCTGAAATGAAAGTGATGCTGCATGGACCCTGGATTGTGCTGGAAAGAGTTCCTCCACCACTGTGGAGCTGCCAGGTCATGGTTCATGTTCATTGGCTAAGTGAACCTGCCTGGCTCCCCCCTCTTCCCTTGCCTGCACCAGTCTGCTCCAGTTCCCTTGGGGACAGAGATGGGGACGGGGTGAAGGAGGACAAGGGCAGAAGGACTCAGGATGGGGAGGGCTGTCAGGAGGCCCCAAGTGAGCTACATCCCCCAAGGCAGTCACCAACCCTGAGCTCAGCTGGCGTGAAGGAGAATGTACATACTCATGTGCTGGCCTGGAGTGGCTTTGTGCCCACAGCAGGCACCCCAGCACCCAGAGCTCTGGATCTGGGGCTTGGAGTCTGGAGGTCTGGGATGAGCTGCCCAAGATTGCAAGGTCAGAAGCCCCGGGTCTCAAGCAGATGCAGCCAGCTTCACTGGCTTCCAGCCCTTTGTCTCCTACCAGTCGTAGTAATTCAAATACCCACCTGGGCCAGAGGTGCACCAGTCCTCCGAACCCAGCCTCCTGCATGTCTCCTCCTCACTTCCCTCCCTGATGCTCCCAGGCATTTGGAGGGTGGCAGGGTAAGGCCCCCTTCAGGCCCCAGTGCCTGGCCTGGCAGGTGAGTCATTCTATTTACCTTTCCTGAGAGGCCTCCTGTCCCTTCATTTGCTTCAATTAGCCTGCTCTGCCTGAGCAGCAGCTACAGCCCACGTGGCCTGATGCTGGCTGTGTGCACCCCTCCCCCAGGGTCCTGCACCATTTTCTACTTTAACAGAGGTACCTGGCTGACTCCCTCCCCACCCTATCTTCACAGCACAGGCCAAAGAGACAACCCTAGAGGTTGACCACAGTCCTTTGTATGTCCTATTCTGCCCAACAAGGTCCTGGTTTGCATGGCTGAGTCAGGAGACTTTATCAAAAACACTTCCTCAAGGGGCAACTTAGGCTCAGGGTGATCCTGGAGAAAGCAGCCCCTACCCCAAAGCACCACATTAGGGACAGCTATTTCCTGGATCGCATTAGCCCTCTCTGCCCGGTGAGTACCCATCCACATCTGCTCCTACTCCTTGAGCTGGCCCAGCTCTCCCGGTGCTTCAAGCCCTGCTGTCGAGGATATGCACAGCAGCTACTACTTGAGCTCTTTATTGAAGGACATATATCTGTGCACATGGGACATGTCAATACACATGGGGACACCCAGAGTCTATAGCACAGCTTCTCCATCATATTCAACCCTCACTCCATCAGCGTGGCCTGTACCAGGGTCAGGACAGGTCTGGGGAGTGTGGACAAGCTGCTGTCCAGCTGCATTGTCTCCCCAGCCTTGGCCAGGCATCTGGTCCTGAGTTGTCCTGTAATCTGAATCCAGCCTGGCTGGGCTCCAGTGGAGATTCAGGTGTGGCTGTCAGCCAACCCTGAGAGACTACTGACAAAGGTCTCCACAGAGGGTTCATGATGGCCGGTCCCGTTGCTGCTGCCTGCACTCACAAGCTGAAGTTTCTCCCCGGGATCACCACGACTAGACCCTGCAGGGGCCATGTGGCTGCCATGGCTGACAGCGGTCTGTTCATCCTTCAGGGCTTTGCCCTCTCGCCATCGCCTCCAACGCTGCAGCAGCTCTGCCTGCACCTAGCGGACACACAGGTAGGGCCGCTCTGTCACCCTACCTCGCTAGGATCCTGCCGGGCCACTCTGAGATGCCCAGCTTTAGTCTAAGCAGACCTAAATATGTTCCCATATTGGGTACATTAGGGCCATTTGTCACCAGGGAAGGTGGGGATCACCTCACATACTGAACTCCCTGAGGACCGAGGGGGCCTGACATCCAACACATGCAGCCATAATAATGGGGAGGAAGGTATGGTCATACCAGGGCAGGGCTGGCCCCTGTGCCATGCTCTGATCCTGGTCCCAGCCTCACCTACCTCCTTGTTAAGGAAACAGTAGAGAACAGCCACCAGCAGACCCTGGAAAAAGAGGGTGGTCAGGGGCAGCACTCTGGGCCCTAGGGGTGGGGTCTGGTGGGGACTCACCTGGAAGGAACTGAGGAAGAGGTCGAAAAAGAGCTTGGTGGAACGCAGGGTGCCCTGGGCGTGCTCATCAGTCACAAAAGCAAAGACCACCTCATGGACCCCCAGCAGAGGGATGAGCGTCAGCGTGGACCTGGCTAGCCTGCAGAGGCAGAACTTGAGCACCCTTACCTGCCGGGGCTTCTGGGCTCTCCCCACAAAGGCATTGGCCCCCAACCCCAACCCTCTCTGGCCTGGGCCCTGGCCCTTGCCCACCGGAACTTGTAGTCAGCATAGTGCATTTGATGGGCACGCAGCTTGGCCACAAGAAGGTGAATAATGTGGACAAAGATGAAAAAATTGATCTGTGTGAGGAAGACAAAGGTCAGAGGCAGCCTGAGAACTTCCTGTGTCTTGCATGGTGCTCATGTGTCCCCCCTGCAGGTGAGGTTGTTGCCAAGTGAGCCCTGGACACATGGTTCTAGGGCTGGCAGGCATCTAGCCAAGGATGGGCAGCCTGACCCACAGCCCAGGGTGTACAGCCCTTGGATAAGTGCTGGGATTACCCACCCTCCATCCTCTGGGCAGAATGTGTTCTGCTAAGCCTCTAGAAGGCTGAGGAAGCAAGGACCTGGGAAAGCCAAGCCAGTGGCCCTTTCCCTGTTGAGGGCAACATGCATCTTGTTTCCTCACCAGTATGGCCAGGAAGACAGGGATGCGCAAGATCCACCAGAAGCCCATGTTATCATTGCTGGTCCAGCACCTGCAGGGGGCGGTCGCTCACATCCTGGGGATGCATGCAGCTCCCCAGCCCCTATCCCTATCTGCTGGGATTTACTGAACACCCCCAGAAAGGAAAAGTGAGAGCCTTTAATGAACCCCAGCTCCAGAACCCTGGATTTACATCTCTTGTCAAAGTGTGACCCTCACCCGCCTCCCCCCACCCTAGGGTCTCTTTACAAAGCCCAGCAGCATCAGCCTCAGCTGCTCCAGCCCAGCCTATTAACTCATACTCACTGGACATTCTCAAACAGACACTTGACCACCACCCAGGGGATGACAAACAGCAGGGGCGCCCCTGTGGGAAGCAGCAGCTGTGGTTCCATGGCCCTGGTTAGCTTGCTTCCCCATTCTCCCCACAAGCCTACTCACCCCAGCCAATGCCCAGGTAGAGGGAAAAGAAGCTCTTCTCTGGGAAGGTAGCAAGGCTCAGCAGGCTGTACAGGTACACACCCTCTACCAGCAACCAGCAATAGTTGGCTATGACGCCGTACTGCATGATCACTGTGGCCGCTCGACAACCAGCCAGCGCCTGAGCAAGGTGAGGAATGAATGGGGTCCACGACACCCTGCCACCCTACACAGGCTGGCGAGCCTTCAGATCTGGGCTCACCCCATTGCTGAGCCAGACGCTCACGCTTAGGTCATCCCCAATCTTCTGGCTGTAGCGTGTCTTGAGCAGCCAATCAATGACCAGCACAGAGCCAGCTTTGAGCACAAAGGATGCAAACAGGTTCCCGTGGATATAGTTTCGGGTGCAGTGCAGCTTCCTATACGACAGCAAGTCAGCACCACCCCTGCCCTGTCCCTCTCCCACCTTACCACACTGAGTATGAGCTGTGAGTGACAGCTGTATACCTGAGGCCCAGCAGGATGACCAGGGCAAGGAGCAGGGCCCCCAGGGACAGACTGTAGCCCACAGTGTACATCACCTGGTAGCTGCTATACATCTTGGCCACCTCCTTCTGCAAACCAGAGACTGAGCGGGCCTGGGCAGTGCCTCATCCCCGGGCCCCACCCAGCCCCACTGTGATTCCACCCCAAGCCCTCCAGAGCTGACCTGGACCTTGATCTCTTCATCATCCATCTGGCACTGGGAGGCGTTGCGCCAGGGCTGCCCCCGAGGCCCTCTCACCCACTGCCCATCAGGCCCACACCTCTTGAACACCAGGCGGTGCTGCACTGGGACATGGGTGCAAGGCTCTGATCAGCCCACCCTTAAGCTCCACCCCCTCAGCTTCCCAGGCCCTCCATCGTTACCTTTGTGGTACCAAGGCAGGTACCAGGGGCAGGAGATGTTAGCTGTGGTATTGAGTGGGGTGTCAGGCCAGCAGGAGTACTTGTCAAAGGTTCTATTACAGACTAGCTCTGTGAAGATGAAGGGCGTGGGACAGAGGTTCCAAATCAGGACCAGAAGCCCCCTGAGCATCACCATCACTTCATTGAGCCTGCATCCAAAGGGGCTGCCTCCCTGATGTGGGGCACAAGGCACAGCCCCTGGGGCCAGTTATCTTGCCTCCTGGACTCCATGCCCACCTCCCCCTCCAGCTCAGCCAACACTTGAGTTTTCCCAAGGTACCTTTCCTTCAAGATCTCCCATTCAAATGTGCCCCAAACTGCCTTTTTAAAAAATTAGTTTTTAAATTTTTCACATTTATTTTAGTGTGTGTGTGTTGTGTACATGCACATGTATAAGCACACAGAAGCACACGTGTGGACATAGCATATAGGGTCATACGACAACTTGGAAGGATCATTTATCTGTTTTCACTCTGTGGGTCCCAGAGCCTTTATCTGCTGAGCCATCCCACCGGCCCCTCCCTCCTTGTAATACATTCCTTCCCGGGTGTTGATCCCAGTTTGGTTGGCATCCTTTCCAGGCCCAGTCCCAACCACAGTTCCTACATCCTTCTCCCTCATTCTAGGCACTGGTCATCTCCCTCAGCTGAACAATGACATGGCCCCAATCTCTCTTGGCACCCACACTGACCTTATCCACTGTCTGCCCACTGTGAGCCGCACCCTGCAGCAGGGAGGACAGCAGAGCACGCCAGCTATAAGGCAGTTCTGCATTTCTATTGTTTCCTGACCATGCTGCCTTGGGGAAGCCACTGGCCTCTGGAGGTCAGTCACCTGGCCTGCATTGAGTGTCCCTGTCACATTCCCATAAGAAGGTCTCTGCACTGCACACTCAGGCAGGGTGACGGATGCAGGAGTCTGTCGGTGGGACTCACCGGTAGGTGGAGGCAGCAGACTCAAGTTGTGGTGGCACTGGTCACCATACAGCTTCCATTTCTCAAACAAGAAGTCCATTACCTGGGCAGAGGATGCCCTTGGCTGGGAGACAGGTGGCAAGCCACCAGAAGGACAGACAGGACAGACAGCTGTCAGCACTTCTGTGCAGGGCAGGCAGCCCTCCATGCAGGGTGATGGGTACACAGCACTCACCAGGCACAGCAGCAGCAGCAGCAGGTGGGGACTGTGGGGCTGGGCGAGAGGCATACCTCTGGGTAGCCACCCCCCACATCTGGCGGGGTTGCACGTCTTGGTCCTTGGGGGTGTGTACACCCCTCCTCAGGCTAGAGAGAAGCAGAACAGTGGAGTCTGGAGAAAGGCTATAGAGCATCCTGTCCTCTAAGACTAAACCTCTGAGCCTAAGGCCTCCTGATAGCTGAGGCTTGTGGAAGGGACATGTGAGCAGCTCCCAGTCAGAGATAGGCGACCATGGGCAACTGTTTTCCTGCTACCTGGGGCTGGCCTCCCTACAGTAGTCAGCCTCCCTACTTGGCCACCCTGTTTTCTCAGAGTGGCACCAACACCTCAGTTACTTCCTCCTCCCTCAGTCCTGTTGCCCTGGCTGGGCCTAGACCTCCCCACCTATCCTTAACCCTTGGAAAGCCGACTGGCCAGACAATCTAACCCAGGATAAAGAGAGTGAGAGTGGAGTGCCTAGGCCCATCACCACTTGGCCCTTGTGCCAGAGAAGTTCCTAGACTGCCAGGGGCCAGGGGTGGGAGGGGGCATGTGCTCAGGTTGTCTCTGCCACCTGTGTGTCCCCTTTCCCAGGACCAGTGTGTTGTACAAGGTTCTCAGACTGGGCCTCGTGGTCACTCGGGGCACCAAACTGGCAGCACATTCCTTTAAGATTAGCACAGCTGCTGCCAGGGCCCAGACGAGGGACACCTCTGCCTGATGTTGCCAGCAGGACCTGATAACACTAGTGGCAGGTTCCAGGCAGCAGCAGCCTCACACCTCAGCCCCACACTGCATCAGAACTCTGCTTGACTCTGCTGGAGTCTCATGGGAGAAGAGAGAAGAGCTCCTTAGGGCCTCACACTATAGGGTAGTCACACTATGAGCTTCCCAGGGCTGAGATGGGCCTCTCTCCTGTGTACCCACAAGTAGAATATAAAATACAGAGCCAGGTATGATGGCATGTATCTCTAGTCCTAGCATTTAGGAGGTGGAAGCAGGGGGACCACCCAAAGTTCAAGGCCGGCCTGGTCTATAGAGTGAGTTCTTGGCTGGCCAGGACTACATAGCAAGATGCCCTTGAGGTGGGGAAGAGAGGGTGGTGAAGAGGAGAAGAGAAGAACATGGATATGGCTAAGGTAGAGGGATTTGCAGGGGTCTCAGCTGGCAGAAAGGGGGACCCCTGGATTTCAGCCTGCTATGGTAAGCCCCGTTGAGTTCTTGAGGCAACAGCTTGATAGGGCTTCCCTTCACTTCTGCCCTCCTACACTTCTGGCCCCTTCAGTCACACTTGGCTTGCCGCCTACTATGGGACTCCTGAGTCTGGCAGGAGGCAAGATCCAAGAGTTTTAGATCTCTGGTACCTGAACCTCAGGGCAAAATAAATACCCATAGAGTAGAGGGTTCAAGCAGCAAACAGGTTGAAGAGGTGAGGAAGTTCAGGTATTCCTATCTCTGGGTCACCAAGCGACCTTACTCTCCTGATTTGGATCAAATAGCCCCATTCGCTGCCCAGGTCACTAGTGGGCTGGCATGGAGAAGCCAGAAGCTGGTCCTTCACCCACTATGCCTGGCTCCCACTCCAGAGCTGCTGGGGTCTCCCAGAGGCCCTGAAAAAGGAAGGGTGGAGATGGGAAGGCTTCGGGGCACAGTGAGATTGACAAGGGATGACCAGTGTGAGTAGATGGATACTGGGGATACAGGCAAGGGGCATGGGAAGGAAGGATACTGGCCCAAGGCCCTGCAAGGGTGGAAATCAGTCCAGTACGGGCAAACAATCCTTAGAGCCCAGGTCTGCTTCCACAGCCCTGGTTGAAAACATGAATGTTCAACAGCTGGATGGTCCCAGCAGCCTGGAGTCCCAGCACGCGGGAGGCAGAGGCAGGTGGATCTCTGAGTTGGAGGCCAGCCTGGTCTACAGAGCAAGTTCCAGGATAGCCAGGGCTACACAGAGAGACCCTGTCTCAGGGGTAGGGGGTGTGTGGGGGGGGAGAAAATGTGAACTTCTGAAGCCCACCTTACTTATCTCCCCGGGCTAGGAGGACCGTGGAGATGATTGTAGGAAAGGGCTGCTGATGCTTATCTGGGAAATCCAGAGAGAAGCAAGCCCCCAAAGAAGGAGGGATGGGTTGTCCTGGACCTTTATGGCCCCAGATCTCTCTTCAGGGCAGCTTGTCCAGGGGCATACTCCCATACCACAGAGAGTCATAAAGGCAAGACTGAAGCTGAGCACAGTCATACAAGCCTTTAATCCTAGCACTTGGGAGGCAGAAGCTAGGTGGATCTCTGAGTTTGTGGCCAACCTGGTCTACACAGTGAAGTCTGGGACAGCCGAAAAATACAAAAATAAATAAATAACAAAGAAGAACAAAGGTGAGACTGAGAATCCTTGAGGATTTCCTTCCACACAGATCAGGGTGGGTGGGCTCAAAAACGCTCAGGGCTAGATTACTAAGGGTCCAGTAACCTTCCACTGAGTCTCTCATAGAAATTAGGAAAGGGTAGAGTAGGTGAACTTCCTATTCCTGTGGGTGGTGAGGAATAACAACAAGGGGGTGTCTGGACAGTTCTCTGAATGTTGAGATAGAGAACATCAAGGATATGGGGACTGATTTTCAGTCCCACAAAGCTGAGACACTGGGGTCTCTGCAGAGAACACCCAGGCCTCATGCTGAAGCCTGTGAAGAGGGACCAACAGGGAATCCTTTCTCTTGTCACTGAAGGGGATGTACCACCGGGTGGTACAGGGCTTGTCGAATAGCACTGCTCAGTCTGTGTGTCCTGTGCAGTCTGCCTCCTGTCCCCACAGTGAGGGAAATACTGACACCCAGACAGAGCCCACCAGCACTGATAAACACTCATCCTGTGAGAGCACAGTCCCAGCCCTGCGGGGACAGTCAGGGGTGGATGTGGTACCTTTGCTCCTGTGGCTGTCCGCAGGTCTGTCCCTTTTTCCACCTTATTACCCTCCCTGGCAAGGAATAGATAGGAGTAAGGGACAATGGACCAGGGACACTGCCCTCCTCCCTTCCCAGACTAGGTCGCTGAAATCCCTCTCAAGTCTCAGACTTCATGGAGGCCAACTGTAGGTGAAATGTGAAGATGTAAGTCTGAATTCCTAAGACGTCAGCCTGTCTTGTCTTTATGCTCTTGCCTATGCCCTCTTCTTCACAGCTCAGATCTGGCACACCAGCCAGACTGGCACTGCCCCACACCACCACTGCTCCCAGCCGGCTCCAACAGGACAAAGGACGCTCGGGTGTTTGCAGTGTGGCCAGTGAGCCACTGATTTTTGTCTGTACGTGGCTGAGGGTCAGATGGATGGCCCAGTGGCTAAGGGAGGCATCACTGGGGAGGCTCTTGGCTCCCTAGGAGACGAAGTTGGAGGGGTAGCAAAGTCTTTGTTCTGAGGAATCCATAAAGGTATCGATTGGAAGAGGGTTTTGGTCAAAATAGAGAAAGTAGCCCAGGTCACAGCCCTAGGGTAAGGACAGGATCAGGATCCATAGGCTGTTGACAAAACCTAATTCCTGAGTCCTTCCCCCTAAAGAGGGCGGGCAGGCCCTGAGACACCCGCACAGTGAGCTCAGATTCCCCCTCCTATGTCTCCAAGACAGGACAGCAAAATATTCCTGGTCGATCCTCGGATCGGGTGCCAGAGCCAAAAGGTGAACTGCGTGGGTCTGAAGTGGGAAGGTGGTCGCTGGGGAGCCGGAAGCAGGACAAGGGCAGTGACCCGCGCTCGCAGGGGTCAACGTGAACAATTGTGAGCTGCGGAAGAAAAGCCCTCGAGGCAGAGTGCCTACGCGCCTCACCTTATCCCAGCAAGATTGGGTCACTGCTAGGGAGTCCTGGGCATTAGGAACACGTAGGAGGGGAAAGCGGATCCAGCAGAGGGGAACGAGCGAGCCATCGGAGGAGGAGCGCGGAGCTGAACTGCGCTTGGCGCTGAGTGGGGCAGCAAGACCCACGCCTGTGTCCACCCTCTCGCGCTCCCGGAGGACAGAAAGGAGAACTTGAGACCCCTAACCTTCCAGACGGTTAGGGAATCAGGTGACCATCCAAAGAGCAGGACACATCCCCGGGGTTGGAAACTGAGGTGTTCGACGGGGGCGAGAACCGCAACACCCAAGACTCCAGGGACAGTTGGCCCACGTCCAGGTCCGCGGGCCAGCTCTTCAGTACCCTCTCTGTGCGCCCTGGTCACGCCCGTGCTCCAGCGCCCCACAGACCGCCTGGGACTGTCCCCAAGGGGCCCGACCCTAGTGCTCACTGCGCTCAGTCGCTCGGGTTAGGGCTGGGCTCCTCGCGGTCCTCGAGCGCGCTCGGGTCTGGGAGCTGGCAGCCAATGGTCTCCTCCGCGCTGCGACCGGGGTCGGCGCCGGCTCCCAGCCAGCCGCTTGCAAACTTTCCGGCGGCGACGTTGGGCGGCGGCGGCGGCGAAGGGGGAGGGGTGGGGGCGGGAGCGGCCGGCAGGGGAAGGGGAGAGCCGAGGGTCCGAGCCCTCGCCTTAGCGCAGCGGACCTGCTGCAAGCAAGCCCTCCAACTCTCTCGGTGTAACCCCGGATATCTCTCCCGTGCGGCGCTTGCTTTGCGGATCTGCACCTCGCGCACCCGCTTCCCCTCCCCTCTGGCACACAGAGCCTTGCGCAGGCCCTGACCCGGACTCCGACCCGACGGGTCCTTTCCGAGGACCCTCGCTTGGTGTACCGCAACCCTGCAGATCCAGTCTTGCACCTGGACTTCAGAGACCCTCCGCGGGTGAATCCTGACCTGGCCGGTGCGGGTCCTGGCAGGTCTGAGCTCGCCAAGAAAAGAAGTGAGGGTGTGACTCAGCGCGCCCCTTTCTCTTGAGACGTCCGCTGTCCTGGGGTCGCACCATTGCATTCAGGTTGCAGTCCTGATTTTCCGGAAGGATTAAGTCCCTTACTTAACCCCATCTGGCTCCTGAGTGAAGGAAACCACTGCAGCTGTCACACACGCACCACAGGCGAGGTGGGAGAGGTTAAGGCATATGGACTGCCCTGCAG